AGAATGAGAGAGAAAGAGAGAGAGAGAAAAAAATTTTTTTTTTTTTTTGCCAACTGGATATAATCCAAGTGTCACGCGTCAGTTACTAAATGATTGCCTATTATTATTATTATTATTCAAATTGACAGGTTTCATCCATTTTAAATTTATTTTTTGTAATTTATTTATATTTTTATTTACGTATTTATATATATATATATATATATATATATATATATATATATATATATTGTTTTAAAAGACGTTTAAGGGTAAAATTAATTATGGTTGTTTGTTGTTGTTTGTTGTTGTTGTTGTTTTGGTCGTCTTCGTGTGGAATTGTTGTTTAAAATTTTAATTTATTTTGCGATGGTCCGAATTAAAAACTATTGTTGTTTGTTGTTTGTTTTTTTTTTTGTTCACTCGACGTGTAATCAAACCTGTATTGTTTTGTTTTCGTGTCAGTCATATTGGTTTTGTTTCTCTCTCTCTCTCTCTCGTATTTCGAAAGTTATTTTTTTTTTCCGATTCGAACAAACGGTCAAGAAAATTCACGTCATGATTTTCAACTAACCGTGAATGATTGTTTTTTTTTTTTAAGAGTGAAAGATTATCAAAAGTCCACGGTTACAAGAACAAACGTGGCGTCTTACAAGGAAATAAGAAAAAAAAAATTTTGTTTGTTTGTTTGTTCGTTTGTTTGTTTCGTTTAATTGTTTTTTTTTTTTTTTAATTGCGATCAAACGTTTACTATTTCATTAATAAAAAAAAAAAAAATTAATTACGGAATATTTCAATGATTGAAATTGTATTATTGGCGTAAAATCGTAAGAGATTAAAACCGAAAAAAAAAGGGAAATTTATTGGCGGTTGTAATTTTTCCTTTTTTTTATTAATGTTATGGAAAGTTTCCAGGAGTTATATTAGTTGTAAAAATTTTATTAATAACGACACAAAATATATAATGGCGTTTGAAGAGGTTTTTTTGGGGGGAGGGGGGAAACATTAAATTCAAGAGTTTGTAATCAAAAGAGAATGAAGAAAATTGCATCCGAATAGAGAGAGAGAGAGAGAGAGAGTGAAATAATTCATTTTTAAGTGGATTAATTTGTATGAGAGAGAGAGAGAGATGATTATTCAAATTTAAAAAATGTTTTTGTGTGTTTGTTGTTGTTGTTGTTTCATGAAAAGCAAAAAAAAAAAAAAAAAAAAAAACATTTTTCGAGGTTTCCGGTGTGTTTGTTTATCGTAGGACGTTGAATCCCAGTTTTGTCTTTTTTTTCGAGTCTGATTAACCGGAAACGTCGTTGAAAATTTAAATCGTCGCTACTAAAAACTCTCTGGAATTTTTTTTTTTTTAGTAAGAAATTAATTGAAATTGATTCAATTGTAAAATAAACTTTAAAAAATTATGATGTTTTGTATTCGAAAATGTCGAAATAATTTCTTTCTTCATTTATTAATGTACATAAAACTCAATTTCGTTAATTAAACAAAAAATAATAATAATAATAATAACGGATATATATGTAAAACGGTTTATCATATCGGTTTGAATATCATTTAAGCCTGGAAATTGTCGATGTGAAACTGCTGGATAATTAATTGCAAAACGTTTTTACGTTAAAAATTTTTTTAATTTTTTTTTTTTTAATTATTATTATTATTCATCGTCCTTCTTGAAAATTCGATACTTTTAATTTGATATCCGATTTTTTAAAAAAAAAAACGAAAAGTTTTGAGTGAAATAAAGGGAAATTTTTATTTAAAAAAAAAAAAATGGTGGCGTTAGTTTACATAATAGTTATAGACTTAAATTGCTCGTTAAAATGAATTAATCGTTTTTATATGCGAATGTTGTTGTTATCATAATACCTGATTCGAACACGTTTTCTCTCTCTCTCTCTCTCTCTCTCTCTTCCTCTTTATAATAATAATAATAATAATAATAATAATAATAATAATAATAATAATAATAATAATAATAATAATAATAATAATAATTTACGTCGTCCGATTGCATTTGACAGTGCGAAACACTTGTGCCAAAAAAAAAAAAAAAAAAAAAAAAAAAACCAAATTGTGTAATGTAATAATTTTTTTTTTAATATTAAATTTCGCACACACGTGTTCGATCGAACGTGGTACTAGAATTTTTCGAAAACGAGGTCCCGTTAATTTCAACGTTGGGAAAAACGAAGGGAAAAAAAAGGAGAAAATTTACGAAAAAAGAACATTTCCTCGTTTGTTACATTACGAACGGGATAAATATCCCATGAATCAATTACAAATGGGGAAAAAATAAAAAAAAAATTAAATTTATCGAGGGGACAGAAAGAAATGGAAAGAGAGAGAGGGGGGGAAGGGAGGGAATAAAGTCATGCAATGTCAAGGTAAATCAATACCATCATGATTTAATTAAGTTTAAAAAAAGAACGGAAAAGAAAAAAGAATTTTTTTTTTTTTTGGTTAAACCGTTAATTTTGATTGACCGCGTTTTTTGAAAACCGTTCGAAAACCATTTTAATTATTAACGGTCATCGATGACCGTTGTGTTGGCTTATCTTAAAACGGTTCGAAACGAAAAGAAATTTTTAAAATATTTGAACCATTTTTCAACAACGCGTTCGTCGTTGCGTTTTAACAAATCAAAGAAAAAAATTATTATTGTGGACGTTCTAAAAAAAGAACATTTTCTCATTCTCGAGTCCCGTTTTGAACGATGGCGGCGGTGAGTGTATTTTTATTTTACGTTCGAAACTTTAATGATGATAACGCGTTGGAAATGCGGGAAGTCGTAGGGGATAAGAGAGGGGGTGGTGGTGGTGAAGGTGGTGGGCGTGAACGGAAATAAATTCGAACGGATTGTAAAAAAAAAAACTTTTCTTTTACATTTTCAATTGTTTGTATTGTTAGACGTATATTAAGGGTGAGTATTTGTAAGGACGAGTGAGAGAGAGAGAGAACGATTAAAACGGAAGAGGAGATGATGATGATGATGATGGACGCGTAAAAAATTATTTTATAAAACTTTTTGACAACTTTGCATATATCACGTCGTTTGTCGTTTTTCGAACGTGCCATTTTGATGAGTTTGTGGCGTTGATAATTTTTTAACATGACTTTTTATTTTTTCGAGAAAATTAAATGGTTCGATCATGAATTAATTTTTTTTGAATTTCTTTCCTCTCCACCCTACTTTCCCCCCCCCCCGTTCCCCACGAAATGATGTTCGTCACACTTGATTGATTTTTTTTCTCTCTCTCTCTCTGTCTCTCTATGGATAGTAAGATTTCGTGCTTTGCAGAATTTTTGTTTTGTTTTTTGTTTTTTGTTTTTTTTGGGGGAGGGGGGGTTTTGAATCATTGACCGAAATTTAAAATTTTCCGTCAGATACACACACACACACACATATTATTGTTTTAACCGTAGAATTTATCTCGTGGTTTTTTATTTGACATTGATTTTGTTACCATAGAGATTTCCAGGAGAGTGATTTATCACCTGGAACTTTTAAAAACTTAAGAGGGAATCCATCCAGAGTGTGTGTGTGTGTGTGTAGTCGCACGTGGAAAACTTTATTTATTTATTTTTTGAAATTGTTTCATTCGAATCGAATAGAAAAAAAAATAGAATTCCAATAAATCAACGTAAAAAAAAAAAAATGTTACACACAAACATTTGTTTTTTTAAAATTAAAGCAGAAGATAAATATTTTTTTAAAAAAAGGAATTATTTATTCGAAACTTGAAGTTTTGGTTTTTTTTTTTTGTTTAAATTTATTAAATCAAAGTAATTTTAAAAAGTTGAAGGAGGTTTTATGCGAAAAAAAAAAAATAATAATAATAATAATGAAGATGATGATGATTATGATGATGATGATGATGATGATAATGATAAGGTTATGGGAAAATTAAAGGAAAATTAATTTATCGATTTATTGGAGAGAGAAAAAAAAAAATTTTTTTTTTTGTGTTCGTGTATTTTAAAATATTTTTGTCCTGAATGTTTCTCTCTCTCTTTTAGTGTCCCCCCCCCCCGCTCGTGATGGACAAGTTATTTGTTTCCATAGGAGCGATTTAAAACTTACGGGAAAAAATAGTAACGATAATAATGATAATAATATTTTTCAAGCATTGAGTAAAACGAAGAAGGGTATTTAATAACAACCGTCGATTTTCCTTTTTTATATACAAAAGCTTTATTGATTCGTGTCTCTTTCTTTCTTTTTTTTTTTCCTTTCTGTTTTTTTTTTTTTTTTCCTTTTTTTCTTTCTGTTTTTTTTTTCTTCATTCTTTTTTTTTTTTCGTTTTCTCTTTTTTAACTGGGGCGCAATAGCAAAAGACGACACACCCTATCAAAATCCAAAGTTGTGAATGTTTTTTAAAAAGCTTCAATAAATTATTTTTAATTTACTTATTTGTCTTTTATTTTATTTTATTTTTATTTTCGTTTTTTTAATAAATTGAGGGAAAATTTCGTTAAGAAATGATTTGGATCCTTTATTAAATAAATTACTTAAAATTACGACCGACAGAAAAAAAAAAAAAAAGAACAAAAAAAGAAAAAAAAAATTTAGTTTTCTTTCCCTTAAAAAATAAAATAAAATAAAAAGTTTAAAAGTTTCCTTCGTTTCGTTTCGTTTTTATCGTCATTTTTTTTTTTTTTTTCGTCGGATATTTATTTATTTATTAATAAAATTTTTCATTTCATTTATGTATTTATTTATTTTAAATTCTCAGGTGACAACTTATCATCGGTTGGAAAAATCAATAAAACAATATTAGAAATGCGGTAGCTAAGGATGACGACGTACGATTATGATGGAACGCTTACGAAAAAGAGTGTGTCTGAGAATTATAGGAAAATAACAAATTATACACGTAAAATAATGTTAGCAATAAAGTGGCCTAAAAAAATTATTATTATTATTAATAATGTTAATGTTAGTGTAAACGTATGTTGAAAACGTACGACGTAAAATATTCATCGTATAGATCGTAAAAAAAAAAAAAAGAAAAATGGATCACAGTGTTAAAGCCATGAACAATTCACATAGGAAATTATTATTTAGCCGGCTATTAAATCGTCACAGGTTCGAAAACGACGAATTGGAAATATTGTACCAAAGGTACATATTCAAACTCCAATATGCGAGCGTCGTAAGCGTCATCGGCCTTTTTATATTGCTGACGGGAATATTGGCGAGTTTCAGCATTGCCTTCGCTCAAGCACCGACAGCGCAAAACATATACAACGGCGTTCACTGTTTGTTGTTTGCTCTACTATTAGGTTTTCTAAACACCAAACTCATGCAAGATGCATATCTCCTGTGGGTTTGTTACGCCATATTGTTTTTTTGCGGAACTTTTTGCGCCGTGAGTTTGCCACTTTCGCCCGACGAGTCTTTTCAAACGGCTTTGAAAGTTGAAACGAAAAGAGTCGTGGCAGAAGGGGTTTGGCAGGTGAGTGAGTTTCGCCGGGTTTTTTTTTGGAGGGGGGGGTGGGAGAGGGAGGGAGGCGCTTTTTTTTTAAACGATGACCGTGATTCGTTTCTTCGTCAGGTCGTTTTCGCCATTTTCATTGCTTACGGTTTGATGCCTTTGAAAGCATGGATCGCAGCTCTTTTCGGTATCACTTTGCCAATCGTACACGTTACTGTTTCCACGATATTTGCAAAAGAATTTCCTCATTTAATGTGGCAGCAGGTGAGATTTTGAGATTTGATTTTTTTTTTTTTTTTTGTCAAATTTAAATTGGAATTAATTTTCTTTTTCTTTTTCTTTCGATGACGACGACTCAGATATCAGCAAACACGTTGATATTTCTCTGCGTCAACATAATCGGAATATTGATGCATAATTTGATGGAACACGCACAAAGGAAAGCGTTTTTGGATACCAGAAATTGTATTGCGGCCAGACTGGAAATGGAGGATGAAAACGAAAAGTTGGAACGTTTGCTTCTTTCCGTGTTGCCCCAGCACGTTGCCATGGAAATGAAAGCTGACATTATGTCGCCGGTCGAGGGGCAGTTTCACAAGATCTATATACAGAGGCACGAAAACGTTAGGTTCGTATTTATTCAATTAAACAAATTTTCCTTTGACGCAAATCTTTCATCGCATTTCATTATTTCTCGAATTTTTATTTTTAATAATTAACAACGCGAGCGAAATGTTGAACCATTTTTAAAATTTGAAAAAAAAAAAAAAAAAAAAAAAATGGCGCCCCACACACAAAACTAAATTGATTGATTTGCGTAATAATGTTTTTTTTTGTAAACAAAAGAATGTTTGTGACATTAATGAGTTGGAAAAAAAAAATCGCGTACAAATTTTGTAACACGACTTTTGCGTTTTTCTTCCCTAAATCCCCTTTCCCGGAAACTTTTAATGTAAAAAAAAGGAGGGGGAAAGGGAAGGGGAAAACGAAAAAAGGAAAGAAAAACAAAATAAAAACGACGATTTGTTTTGTTTTGTTTTTCTCTCTTTCTCTCACTGTGTTGTTTACTAAAACAAACAGAAAAATATTATTTCAGTTCTACGTGAAGTTAAACATTTCTGGTAAATAATACTAATAATAATAATGATGATGATGATGATGATGATGATGATGACAAAGAGATAGTATTAATTTAATTTTTTTTTTTTTTTTTTGTTTCGTTTCCCTTTGCTTTGCTTATTTCTCGTGTAAATATATAATATTTTGTTCTTATGAACGGATTCGAGATTAAAATAACGAGGCGACTAATCCTCTCCCGAGGCCCCTCCCCCCCTTTCGAATCTCTTTAAATAAAGTTTTTCCAGTTTGTTTAATTAATAAAAATATGCGATTTACTTAACGAAATGATGATGATGATGATGATGATGATAATTTTCGTTAAATGTTGTGCTTTATTGTCATTTTGAAATTCGTTTTTTACGGAAAGTAAAATGGCGTCGAACTCTCTTCCCCATACTCTATAATCCAGTTACGAATTTTTTTACCTTTTTTAAAACCTACCTGTCGAATTCGTTCGTTTGAATTTTCTTTTCGAAATAGGCGTGTGCGTGTGCGTGTGTATCGTTTGTGTTGTCGTAATAAAGACACAAATTTCGCACGCCCGATTCGTCCTTGATGGAATTTTTTTTTTACAAACGAACGAAATGGTTCGTAAGGAAAATCAACCTATCGGTTGATATGACCTTTGACGCCCACGAAGGTTCACGATTAAACATACGATGAAGTTTCCCCCCTCGCCCCCCATTGTTCTAAACAACGTCGGTTAGTTATTATTAACGAATCGATTGCCAACAAACAACAAAAATTTTATTACAAAAGACGCGAATTCAAAAATCGAATTTGTAACTCGGCCAAAATTTCATGACACGTCAATCAAAACGAGAGAGAGAGAAAAAATTTTTATTTGCAAAAAAATTGTTCGACTTTTATATTTCGTCGTCGTCGTCTCGTTTTGTGACGTGGCAATAAGAAGAAGAAGAAGAAGAAAAAAATTAAAAAATAAATAAATAAATAAAATGTAAGCGACGATGAGGGGGAAGAAATAAAAAAAAAAAAAGATGGTAGAAAACTAGAAGGAAAAATTTTTACATCACGGCTACTAGACATGCATATGCGAGAACCAAAAGCACGTTTGTCAGAATCCTAATGACGGATTTATCGTCGGTTTATGTCACACACAATTAGTAATGCCAAATGAAAAAATTAATTCTCTCTCATGCAAAAGAAATTTGTTGACGATGAATAGAACAACAACAACAACAACAACCAACAAGAGAACAAACGAACGACGACGACAAAAACGACGGGTGGTGGTGGCGGTGTGCAAAGTCTTTTTTTCTTTTTCTTCTTTATTTCGTTTTTCATGTATTTCATTCATTACGTAATTTTAAATTTTTTTTGTTTTTAAATTTTTTTCTTCTTCTTCTTTTGTTTCTGCATCAATTAGGAGTGGCAACAATGACGAGAAAAAAAGTCCTTTTCCACTCTCCTTTTTTCACATCTCTTTACATCCTTTCTCTCTTTTCGTTTTAATTCTCTTTCTCTCTCTTTCTCTTTTTTCGTCAACTTAAACAAAATTGTTCGTGAATTGTTAATAATAATACTTGTTACGGAAAAGAAGAAAAGGAAGTGAAGAAAAAATCCGGAAAAAGTCGAATTGTTTTTGTAAGCCTTCCGGCGATTTTTTTTTTTCTCTCTCTCTCTCTCTCTCTCGTAAGCCCCCCGAATTTTTCGTTAAACTCAAACAAGGGAAGAAATTAAAAGGAAGGAGAAATGAATAAAAAAATTTTTTAAATAAAATATAAGAAACGAAAAGGACTTTAAAAAAAAAACAAAACTCTTGCGAATTGCTCGAAAAAAAGAAAAAGGAAAGTTTTGCAATGTTACGAGTTAAATAATAATAATAATTATGATAATAATGATAACTTTTTAAAGCATGCCTTCGAGCAAACGTTTAATAATCACACACACACACACACACAAACGCGCCAATTATTAAAAATGTAGAAATTATTTAAAAGTTTTTCGAATAATTTTTTATTTTCCTTGTAATTTAATCATTGCCACACATTCGTGAGAGATTTACTGGAGAATAAAAAAAAAAGAAAAAGAATCGAATCGATCGATCTATCGATTAATCGCTTGTGGAATTTGCCAACTATTTTACTTCATTTTTAAACTTTTATTGCTTTAAATGAACAAAAAGGAAAGAAAGAGTTCATATACGATGATGATGATGATTTACGACGAAGTAAATTTTCTTTTTTTTTTTTTTTTTTTTTAAATATAAATTTTGTAATTTTTTTATTTTTATTTTTCGGCATGTGTACACACGTGTGTATGTTTAAAAATTTTTTACTATCGTTTTTTTTTTTTGTTTGTACAAACGAAGGAACGAACAAACAAACAAACAAATAAATATACGTTGTTTTTAAATGTAGTTTAAATGTGTACGTTTTTTTTTTTTTTTTAAATTAATTTTTAATCAGAAACCGATCCTGATCTTCGATTTGATTTTTTTTAATGGGATTATAAAAATCCATTTTTGAATTTTTTATTCGCATTCTGAAGAAATGCTTCGGTTTAAAACCGGATGTTGAAATCCTTCGGTAGTTTTTTTTTTAATAAAACCTTTTCCGGTGTGTGTTTTGAGTTCCGACACGATCGCAATTCAATCTTTTAGCTTTTTTTATTAAATTCAAATTTTCTAGGGATTTGATTTTCTTTTTTGAATAACATTCTTGCTCCTTCGAATCGTTTCCGTTTCCGCCTCTGCGAATTTTATGGGAAAAAACGACGAGTTCGTTAATTTTCATAATTTAAAAGTTTTTTTTTTATTTTAATTTTACACTCTCGTCGTCGTCGTTTCCCTCCTCTCTCCCTCCCTCTCTATTTCGATTCAGTCGAAATATTAATTTTAAAAATTATTTTCCTCGCATTATTATTATTATTATTATTATTATTATTATCATAAATTATTTTAATTTCAGCATACTTTTTGCCGACATCGTGGGTTTCACAGTTTTGGCATCTCAATGCACAGCACAAGAATTAGTTAGATTGTTAAACGAATTATTCGGTCGTTTCGATCAATTAGCAAACGATAATCATTGTCTAAGAATAAAAATATTAGGCGATTGTTATTATTGCGTTTCCGGTTTACCCGAACCTAGATCGGATCATGCTCATTGCACCGTCGAAATGGGTTTAGACATGATCGACGCCATTGCGTGAGTTTACTTTATTTATTTACGCATTTATCATTGTGTGGTAAAGGAAGGGGTGGAGAAAGGGGTTGGGAAAAGGTTTATTTGATTTTTTTTTTTTTTTTTGATCATTTACAGGTCTGTCGTCGAAGCCACGGATGTTCAATTGAACATGCGAGTAGGTATTCATTCCGGAAGAGTTCTTTGCGGAGTTCTCGGATTGAGAAAATGGCAATACGATGTTTGGTCGAACGATGTGACGTTAGCGAACAATATGGAAGCCGGAGGAGAACCCGGGTGAGAAAATGAGGAAATGTTAAAAAAAAAAAAAAACCATAATTTTATGTAATGTTTTTAACGGTTGTTATTTTTCCAAAAAAAAAAATTAAGGAGAGTACACATCACTCAAGCCACGTTGGATTATCTGGGGGGTGAATACGAAGTTGAACCCGGTCACGGAAATACGAGGAATCAATATTTGCTAGACAACAATATCACAACATATTTTATTATTCCCCCTTCTAGAAGGAGAAAGGTGATTATGGATTTTATACTTTATTATTATGTATATATAGTTTTTAAAAATTATCGAGAGGGAAAATTGACGCTCATTTATTTTGTTCTTTTTTACTTCCTCCCCCCCCTCCCCCAATACCACGTTCAGCCGCTTTTGTTCAACACTCTTCAAGTTCGATCAGCTCTAGGAGCAGCTCAACGTCGTAAATTGTCATTTAAAAACGTATCGAATGTCGTTGTTCAATTACTTCATTCAATTAAATACTCAATGGAAGTACCATTCAGCAATATAGGCCAACCGGATATTAAATGTAATTCAAGCAGAAAGGTAAGAAGGTACAAAAAAAAACAAAAACAAAACAAAAAAAAACAAAAATTACACCAAAATCCATAAATTTTTTTTTTTTTTTAGTCAATTGTTTGTTAATCCATTAGTCAATCACAACAACAAGATTGAAAATTATAATTTTATATGTACATAATTTATTTCAAAAGCTTTTTGTTGATTATTATTATTATTATTATTATTATTATTAAATTACGGTCGATCAGTCAACCGTTAAAAAAATTTTTATATAAAAAAAAAAAATTCGATTAATTTTTAATCCCAGGTAATTTGTAATCGTTCGACAGACGACAGCGTGTCCATAACTATGATGAAAACAAAATTTTTTTACCGCGTAAATAAATAAATAAATAAATAAATTCCGGTTTATGATTAAAGGTCATTGACTTCATTTCCTCCTAATAAATTCACCCGGCTTTTGGGTTTTTTTTTTTTTTTTACATGCACTTTGTTTTATTTATTTTGGAAAAAAAAGAAAAAAAAAACAATTAAACGAAGTAAAAATTGTTTTTATTATTATTATTATTATTATTATTATTATTTAAGGTTTTCGATCTCCAAAGAGCTTTACATTCGGATTTAAACGATGCCGGAGGATCGGATTCATTGGATATTCGGGACGTAACTAATAAGGTACATAATTTTATTATCAATTCGCGAATGATTTTTCGTGAGTTTTCTCTATTTGGTCGATTTACCAAAAATATTTTATAGAAAAATGTCGCGGATTCAAAAAATAATAATAATAATTTAAATTTCAGAATAAAATAACGGATAAACTTCGGAGGCCTTTTAAAAAACGTCATTCGAGCGTTTATCATCAGCCCAGTAGTAGAGTCAATAAATATTTAGCTCAAGCAATCGAAGCAAGATCGGTCGATAGGGAAAAATCAACTCACGTGTCTCTTCTCACGCTTTGTTTCAAGGATAAAGAAAAAGAAAGTCAGGTACGAGAGAAAAAAGGGGGAAGGGGAAGGGGAAAATAGAAGGTTTGGTACGTTTGGTGATGAATTTTTTTGTTTGCAGTATCACAGTGACGGTGATGTTAGTTTTAGCAGTTCGTTAACGGGTGCCCTCATTTTACTCCTCCTGACGGGTGGTTTACAAGCCATTGTTTTACCCCGAACAATTATTTTGTTGTTACTTTTTTTGACTGCCTTTATATGGGTTGCGGTTGTTCTCATGCTTTTGCTCGCCGTAAGATTGAGATGGATCGTGTGGGACATTTCCGAAAGTTTTATACTTCGGATAGCCATAACGATATTCACGATCATACTCTTGTACGCAGTATCTCAGGTTAACGTGGTGAGTTTTGTTTTTTTTTTTTTTTTTTGCGTTTTTCACTGCGGAAAATGAAAATAATTAATTTTTTGTCGTCGTCATGATTCAGTTTACTTGCGTTTGGGACACTTCATGCTCAACTTCTACGACGAACGTTACACTAGACGTTAACAGTTACACGGATCACAGAGCTTGTCCGATACCGCATTATATTGTTTTGTCGGCTGCTTTAAGTTTTTTATCCGTGCCTCTGTTTCTCAGGCTTCCCATATTAATAAAGACTGTATTGCTTGCTATTATGGCGACGGTTTATGTTTTACTAATAATAGCAAGTCATCAAGAAATATTTATTTGCTACGACAAACGCGTAGGGTGAGTTTTCTTTTTTTTTTTTTTAAAGGGGGGGGAGGGAAATGATGTGTCGAAACATTTCAAAATTTTTTTTTGTTTTCGTCCACAGTTCTACCATACCTATTGCCATTGTTAGTTTAGTTCAAGTTCTCATGTTTGTTTTGGCCGTCGTCGTTCACGGGCGTCAAGTTGAATGGACGGCGAGATTGGATTTCTTGTGGCAAATACAAGCGACGGAAGAAAAAAGAGAAATGGACACGCTCCAGCACAGCAACAAAAGGATATTGTTTAATCTTCTTCCCGCTCACGTCGCAACTCATTTTCTGGATAATCAATTCCGTTCGAATATGGTTTGTAGATATAGAAAACAAAAAAAAAAAAAAAAAAATTTATTAGCGTTCATGTTCGTTAATTTTATCATTACATTGTTGATACTAAATGAATTTCGCCGCCAATTTCATTTTAATTAAAAAGAATTTTTTTTTTTTTTAAATTATGTGAGCAGTAGATATTTAATTTGTTTAAATGAGTAGCAGTAGATAACTAATAATAAAATGACTGAAGGAAAAAAGAATTTTTTTTTTTTTGCTTTTTAAAGTTTTTTATTTATTAACATTATTTAATAACAATTCGTTTTATTTAGTTGTAGTTTTTTTTTTTTTTTTTAACTGCTTGCGATTGAAAATTAAATCGACGACAAAAAAAAAAAAGTAGTTGTAAAGCTGAAACTAAAAGAGGGGGGGGAGGGGAAAGCTTGTGATTTGTGGTTGTTTTGTTTTTTTTTTTTTTTTTGGCAAACTTGAATCGTTGCTTATCTTGTTTGTTTTGTTTGTTTCTTTTGTTCAAAATCGTCTTTCCCTATTTCCGTTTCCTGCGTTTTCCTTTGCGAATACTTGCTTGCGCATATATAATCACATTCCTTTGAATTTTGTCCAATAATAAATACCAATGTAGAACACGCTGTCGCAGGATTTGTATCATCAATCGTATCATAGAGTCGGCGTAGTTTTTGCTAGCATCACAAATTATCACGAGTTCTACGTGGAATTAGATGGAAACAATCAGGGAGTGGAATGTTTGAGATTGTTAAACGAAATCATCGCAGATTTTGACGAGGTGAATTAATTTGTGAATTTATTTTGGGTTTTTATTTTGTTTGCAACGAGCGAAGGGGTCTATAAATTTGTTTTGGTTATTATTTAGCTTTTGGGCGAAGATCGTTTCAAATCCGTTGATAAAATTAAAACTGTCGGATCCACTTACATGGCTGCCGTCGGTTTGATGCCAGAATTTAGAATTTTGGATGAAGATGGAGATTACAGTGCCGGGAGACAACTATCAACCCTCGTGGAATTCGTTTTTGCCATGAGAGAGAAATTAATCGTTATAAATGATAATAGTTACAATAACTTTATGTTAAGAGTCGGAATAAATGTTGGTCCCGTCGTGGCAGGTGTTATTGGCGCCAGAAAACCACAGTACGACATTTGGGGTAATACTGTTAACGTAGCCAGTAGAATGGATTCCACCGGATTGCCCAATCACACTCAGGTAAAATAATCCTTTTAAAATTTTTTTTTTTTTTTTACTAAAATGGCTTCTTTCTTCGTTTTATGTATACTTAATTTTAAAGGGTTATTATTTTTCCATTTCAGGTCACTGAAGAAGTTTATCAGATTCTTAGAAACTATCCTTACGAATTTCAATGTCGTGGTAAAGTCAAAGTCAAAGGAAAGGGAGATATGACGACATATTTTTTGACCGATCGAAAACAACCAGGAACATTGCGCGTGGAAGAATTGTCTCACATGAGATCAGCTAATAGTGTAGCTGCTGGTAAGTTGGAGAACCCGTAAAATATTTATTTTTACGACATTCAGTAGTTGCTATACTACTCTTTGGTTTTACTATATTTATTTGCAGGCAGCATGTACGGTGGAGTGGCGACACCTTTGGCCATGCTTCACGGAGCCGGTGATACTCCTCCTCGACGCATAATTCGACCACTTATGAGCGATCCAACGAGGAGAGAACAACGTTTGCCCGCCGTCAGAGAAACAACACATTGTGACAATTCGAATCACAGACGACCCGAATGCGAACCCCTTTTACCCATCACCAATCCAGGTGTTAAAATAATGCCGAATTCTAACGTAGGAAAATTCAATTACACGAACAATTTCAACGACTCATCTTACAACAACGGAGTTTCTGTCAATTATAATTTTAATAATTCTAATACCCCGAAACCTTTCGATACTCCCAAATCGAAATTAGGTCACTTGGACAATTTGAATTGCGGTAATAATTTCAACAGCAATAATACAAGTAGTAGCAGTAGCATTAAAAATAATATATCCGGAAATAGCACAAACGGTTTCGGTTACAATCAAGGAATGTATTCGAATAAAGGAAATGGATTTTTCAACATAAGGTTAAATGGTCTCGCTTCACAAAACGGAACATCCGATAATAATCCACTTCCGCTTCCGCACAAATCGTTTAAATGTTCGCAGTCTTCGTCTTCAAGGTGAATATTTTCAAATTTTTTTTTCTGCATAATTCAAGACAATTCCTTTTGACGATTATTAACTTCTGCTGCGCCTTTGTCACTTTTTAGTTACACTGCCAATCTTTGGTCTGGTTCGAACAGCAACAACAACAACAGCAACAGGGTTTTTAATAATTTACAAAATAGTAGCGAACCATACACGAAGCCTTTACCGAAACCTCCTGGGCCTCCAATACGGCAAAGATCAACTTCTTCGTCTCAAGGACATTCCTTTCTACCACCACTTTCTACAAAAGAGCTCAGGTTGGCAGGACGGAAAAAAAAACCTTTTAAGTAGATTGTGTCGCGATTGACATTGATAAAAATGGATTTTTCAGGTATTCGAAGGGGAAAGATGAAAAGAAAAAACTTCAAAGACATTATTCGGATGAAAGCATTCAAGGGACTTCATTGTTTTCATCTCCTGCAAATTATAGAATACATTCTTCGGCTGACGAAATTAGTAGCCTTAACAGGTAGTAAAAATTTAACAATAATAATAATAATAATAATAATAGTAAGTAAAGGACTACGATTAATTTGAGTTTTAAAAAAAAAAAAATATTTCAGGTCGCCGAGCCTTAGTTCCAGTGATGAAAGTTTCAGTAAAACTACAGATGCTTCTCATAGTCCTAGTCCTCCACCAAATTCCAAATCTGCCAAGGACATGCCAGAAAAATGGTTATATCCATCAGATATTCAAGTGAATATATTTTCTTTACAAACCATAATTTTTTTGTTAAATTTTTTTTGGAAACCTGGAGTAAAAATTATGTGTTTTAGGTTAATCCTTGTTCCTCGCCCGAGCATTCCCCTAAAACTTCTCTCGATTTCGGCATGATGCCACAAAAGTATTTAACTCCGCCTGCGCCTTCAAGACAATCCAATTCTTCTCCTCACAGGTGAGTAAATTACGTATGACGATGATTTTTCTTAAATTTTACAATTAATAAGTTAATTATAATTATTTTTTTAGGCACAAAAGTCCCAACTCTTCGTACAATTCTAGAAAAAATTACAGCAATATTGTCAAAGAACCTCTTCCTCCGGCTACATTACTCGCTTTGGCTGCTGGTACCACGAGCACGATAGACACAACCATAGGAGACGAAGATACTCTCAATTACCTCGGTGATAGTTGCACAAGTTTCGAATACATCGCACGAAACAAAGGGAAAAAATCTCTCGGGAAAGGTTTAAATTCTCAGAACGACCATGGGAAACCGGCCAACGGAAAATTGCAATCCGTTAAATCCAACATCCCGACGAAAATAACCACGAACGGAACCGGAGGACGATCCAAGCGGAAGTTACCGAGTTTGGAAAGAAAACAAAAAGACAAATGGAGTTCATCGAGAGAAAACTCATTGGACAAAGACAGATCTCCGAAAAAGGAAAAAATGTCAAATTTAGATGTGGGCGAAAGATCTCCGAGTTTGGAATTGGAAGAAACGAGATCGAGATCGGCATCGAGTGGTAAATCGTCTAAAAAGGATAATTCTAGTCAAACGGAAAAAAGGGATTTGAAGGAAATGGAAAAAATTCTTTTGGATCACCGCGAAGAAAAAGAAGACGTTAAAAATCAAGCAGAAGACAACAACATATTGGGCGAACAAAATCTGTTGAAAAACATGAAGGAAAAAACGGATTGCAAAAAGGATATAATGTCTCTAGAAGAATTGAAAAACGTCAACGATGCTCTAATTGAATTGGGACAAGAGAATTTGTTGACGAGTGCGAGGGATTTGACTCCTTTGGTACTTGGAAGGTGCGTAAGTTTAAGTCCGAAACCTCCCGTGTCTCTTTCGGATATATTAAAAAGTAGTTTCGAAAGGAGAAATAAAAAATTTGAAGATCAGATAAGCAAAGAATCCGGTATATATGGTAAAATAAAAAATGTCAACTTGGAAAGGAAATCGAGTTTCACGTTTAAAAATAAATTAGAACCGGTGCAAGTGAAAAAGGGAAGCAACAGCGCGGACAGGAAGCGGAAAGATAAATCCGTCGATAGGTCGGACGATTATCAGAATTTAAAAACGGAAGAATTAGAATTGCTTTTGGTCAATTGCGACAGGAATCCAAAAAGTGGAAAAAGGTCACCGGGTGTCGATAAAAAATTAACGAGGTTTTTAACGATCGAAAGAAAAGCAGCAGAACAAGAACAAAAACTTCTCGCTTCAAGTCCGGAAAGAAGTTCTCCATTCACCAACAGGAAAATATTGAGCCGTGAAAATTCTCTCAGTAGGAAAAAAGAAAGGCCCGTGGGTTTTCACGAGGAACAATTGTTGAAAAAATTTCAATCCGCCGATACGTTCGAAAGAAAAGATTCGTTCAAAGGACGAAACAAGTCGAACGCGGAAAATAAAATGAAAAACGAAGAAAACGCGATGGACGGAAGGGATAAATCCGGGGAAAGCACTCTGGTATCGACGAAAAAGGGGAAAGATAAAAATAACGTAAAATTACCCGTTTCCGCTTTGATGATGACAACGGCGACGTCATTTCCGTTGAATAAAGAATTTTCCTCGGAAGAGGATTTGAAGTCTCCGATAAGCGTTAAAGAATTTTCAACGTGTTTTGCGAGAGCGTCACAAATCGGAGGCTGCGTTTTACCGCAGAAACAAACCAAAGAAAAAAAACCGGATGCGAAGGAGAGGTAAAAACCGGATGTGGAAATAAAAAAAAGGAAATGTTTGCATGACGACCGGTTGAGAATTTTTCTTTCTTTTTTTTTTTTTTTTGGTTATCGACTTGTTATACTTTTTGTACTAACAAAAAAAAAAAGGTTTTGGTACCTTTTTTGTAATCGCCGATTTCTGTCGCCTGCGACGACAACCTTCCGACGAACTATTTAGCTATCGATTAATTCTTCGTTCTTCGCCATTTTCCAGGTGTTTTGGAAAATTTTTTTTTTTTTTTCTTCGAGCTTGTTGGTGCGAAATTATCTTCAAGCATGGCTGCCATCATTTAAAAAAAAAAATGTTTGATTAACAAATTTTTTTCTTTTTTTTTTTTTAACTTCTTGGAAATTCGTTTCGAAAACGAGGGAAAAAAAAAACTTTTAGCGAATGATGATGATGATGATGATGACAACTTTTGCGCGCTGTTGCCTTTTGTCTATTAACAAAAAAATATTAATAATTTTCTTTGTTTATCTGTTCTCTTATCGCACGATAAAAAAAAACAAAACAAAAAGTTTAAACGTTTAAATAAATTTAAATTGAAACTTGCGTGATAATAATAATAATAATAATAATAATATTAACAGTAACATTTATGATAGTTGACGAATGAAAGTAATAACGAATGAATTAAATTTTCCAGGAAAATTCTTCAAAATAAAGAACCGAGCGAGTACACGTCGAGGAGCGAAATTGATCAGGATGATAGTTTGTTCGACAACGTCGAAAGGTTATCGAACAATAAAAGTTTGGATTCGGATGGTAAAGCAATTGAAGAAGAAGAAGAAGAAGATCAAAAGCGGGTAAGATCCTCACGATTCCTGTGATTATTATTATTATTGATGATGATGTCAGTAAAAGGCACTTTATAATTTTTTAAAAATAGGGTTTGGGTAGGAAAAATTATTTAGACGAAAGAGGAGGTTTGGGAGAAACGAGTCAATCGGAATGGTCGGAAGAAGATGATAACGAAGGTGGAGCATCCGAACCTTTGCTCCCCGACAGAGAATCCACGGGTTACACGACAGACGATCCGGCTCTTGAAAATTTATCAATGTTAAACGAAGCCGGATTAACGGATGCCGAAGGTAAGTTTTTTGGAGAGGGCGGGGTTGGTGGGGGGGCGGATCTACGGTCAAAAGGGTCGTTCGGTCCACATCGCCCACCACCCCTTCGGTCGTAATTTTTTAATTTCCGTCATTCGATGATGATTTTTTAGCGGCTTTGAGCGACGTCAATTCCGTTTTTAACGATCCGGAAGAGGGCGTCGATAACGAGGATAACACGAGCATGTCGTCGCGAGCCTCGTCTAGAATATTCGATTCGGATGCTATAATGTCGTTGGATTCGATGTCGGCACTCTACGACAGCGAATACGATAATTACAGGACGGAAGACGAACTTCCGGTCAGTCATTTGGATTATTTCGCGTCCGCGGATGCCGACATCAATTTGGCTAACATAAGATCGATGTCGGAGAGCATAACGAGAAATTTCGGACAGCCGAAAAGCGAAACGGATCTCGATAGTGACGTGTGAAATGACGTCATAATCAATATCCGCATCAACATCCGGTGAATAGTACAAAATGAAATGAATGTCGTCGTCGTCGTCTTGTAATTATTTCATATAAAATACTCGAGGAGATGAAATTTCCTTCTCTCTTTCTCTCTCTCTCTCTCTCTCTATTTTTCTTTACTTTCTTTCTTCCGTTATTTTAAACGAGTTTCCTTTTCGTCATTGACGTCATTTCCGCAAGCAAAATTTATTTCTTTTGTTTCTAACTCGTCATTTGAAAGAAGAAAAAAACGCGACATATCTAATTTTGGGCTTATTCAAGTGCAATTGAACGAATTTTATTAAAAAAAAAAAAAAAAAAGAAGTTTCTTATCGATTATATATTTTGGGGGGCGGGGGGAGGGAGAGGGGCGGGGCAACAAAAAACAAGAAGAAACTCGCATTAATTTTTTTTTTTTTTAATTTAAATTTAATCACAAATTAAACGAGTTAAAAAAAAAAAAGAAAATTTTTGAGCTCGTCGAACTCGCTGCATGAATTTTTTGTACATAAAAAAAAAAAAATTTTTGCAGGATTTTTTTTTTTTTTTTTTCTGAGAAAAAATTAATAATGAATGTATTTTAATATTTTCTCACGAATTTTGTAAAAAAAATTATAAAGTTTATTAATTAATTATTATCATTATTATTATTATCATTATTATTATTAAAAAAAGAAAACGAAGAAAAAAGGAAAAAAAAAAAAGAAAACGAATTCGGAAATTAAAAAAAAAAAAAATTTGTTTTAAAATATTTATTTTATTTTTTTATTTTAAAAATATATCCTTCTCTCTCTCTCTCTATCTTTCTCTCTCTCTTTCTCTTCTGCGTAAAAATGTAGGAATAATAATAATAATGATAACGTGGGGGAAAATGAATTTTTTTATTTTTTTTTTTGCATATAAATATTTAATTTTTGTTCTCGTCGGATGTTTCTTAAAGTAAATTTCAATTTTTAATTTATTATCATTATTATTATTATCATTATTATTTTGCGATAAAACAGTAAAATTGATTTTAAAATTATCAATGGAAAAAAAGGATTTAAAAAACAGCAGCGGGGAGGAGGCGGAGGGAAAAGGAAAAAAAATTTTTTCGTTTTTTTTTTTTTTTAATTGTTATTAATTAAAATTATTTATTTATTTATTTAAACAAACGATGAAAAAAAAAGTTAATAATAATAATAGTAAAAATTAAACAATAATTTACTTTCTTTGGTAATTTTTTAATCAATTTTTTTTTTAATTTACAATTTAACGACAGAAATTCCTGTCGGAGTTCGTTCGACATTACAAAACAAAATAAAAAATTTTTGCTTTTTTTTTAATTATTATTATTATTAAATTAAACGTCAAATTATTTCTTCGATTTCCCCCCTCCCCCTTCTTTCTAATAATCAAAAAAATTTTCTTCCGACGGGAAAATCCCTTGAATTTAAAACACGCCCCCCGCTCCTCCCCCAAGAAAAAACAACAAACGGGAAAAGACAAAAAAATAATAATTTGAATTTTAATTTGAACATTTATTACAATGTTTAACTTATTTGATAAACAATTTTCTTATGGTATTTATATATATAATTTTTTTTCATTTCGTTATTGACTTTGTTTGTTTGTTTGTTTGTTTTGTTTGTTCGTACCACTGAAAAAACGTTTTAGGTAAAAAACAAAATAATAATGATAATAGTAGTAGTTGCAATCAATTAATCATTTTTAAAATCGTTTTCCGGTATCGAAGGAGATGAAGATGCTGATGATGATGACGTCGACGATGACGACGAGGACGACGAAGATGAGGAAGATGACGAAGATGAGGATGCTGAAGAGGAATTGACGACGGTATCGTTTAATTGTTCGGTGCTTGCATTATTTTCTTCTTCTTCTTCTTCCTCTTCTTCCACTTCTTCTATTTTTTCTTTTTCTTTGAAATTTTCATCGCTGCTCATATCCGTCGGTGTGTTTGACACGCTGTTGCTATTGCTGCCACTGCTACTGTTGTTGTTACTGCTACTACCACCACCCTCCCCGGTGATTTTTTCCTTTTTATCTAAACATTTCGATGTTTTTTTCATTCTTCTCTTGACGAATTTATTGTAGAGCAATTTAAAATATGAATTTTTTGTTTTGAGTTTGTGTTTTATTCTATTTACTTCTTTAACCGAATTAATTATGTAAGCTCTTAAAGCTATCAAATCCATTTTATCGAATTTATCACCTTTTTCGAAATTTTCCTCATCGTCGACCTGCCGACACAAAAACGACATAATAATAATAATAACAATAAGCAAAGAAAAAAGAAAAATAACAATTGATGACTCACCGTTTTTGTTAAAATGACGTCATTTCCGATCCAATCAGGATTGGATTCGACGATCGCTTTCCACGTCGATAATAATTTTTGAAACATTCTACATTTTTCGCGTAGTCTCGTTCTTCCGGTTCTAGAATACGCTCCGAAAAGTAAACTCGTTGAAAAAAGCGTGTTTATATCCGGCCAATATTTCTCCAGGAATTCCAGTTCTTTTTGATCTATTTTTTTCTTAGCGGGTTTTTGAAATTTGTAAAAACAATTTTTTTTCCTTTTACTTTTCCTAACGGTTTTATCGAGGGTGTCTTTTCTCGCCAAACCCATGAAACTCAAAACTTCCTCCTGTTCCTTCAACGCATTTTCTTTTTCCCCCAATTTTTTATTCTTTTCCAATTCGTCCGTTATTTGTTGTTTCATTGTAGAAAATGATTCTTCTAGAAAATCTTCGAGATTTCTTTTTATTCCCCTTTGAGATTGTACGCTGTCGTTTTTGTCAACCCCGATCGTTTCGTTTGTTTCGACGTTCGGACTGAATTCCTTTAGATTCGTTCCATCGTCTTTGTTTCCGTTATTACCACCACCACCACCACCACTTCCGTTGTCTTCCGTTTTGTCTTTTCTCCAACGTTTTTTCAATGATTCGTTCATTCTGAAACACGGATAACATCTTTTCTTTCCTAATGCTATCAACAAGTGACAACCGTGAGATCTGTATATTTTTTCCCTTCGTACTATTTCGTTTCCGGTCTTTTCCATTTCTAACAATTCCTCTTCCGTCCAGTATTTTTTAAGTGATGCATCGCATCCGGTGCACACGCTCAGGTATTTTAATTTGTTTAATATCGCCAGTACGTAATTTATGCTCAATTTGTTGTCGGAATTTTCAATTTTGCATAAATTTGAAAATAACTGATGAGATTCGTCCAATTGTTGTCCTTTGACGTTGACGGTGAGTTTTCCACATCTCGCGATGACGACGCTTATCAATATGGAGGGATTTAATAGTTCGTCAACGTGAGTTTTCATTATTTGCAAACCGTATTTTTTATCCAGGCACAAAAACCATTTTTCCGGTAATATTTCTTTCAATATCGACGAGAATGCTGTTAGTGTTATCACGTGATTACCTTTCGGATCCTTATTAGAACCTTTGTCCGAATCCTCGTCCGTTGAATTTTTCTGTTGTGCGAATTCGTTCGTTTCGATTTTTTTACTTTGCACGTTTACGGGATCGTAGGGAACGACTTTTATAAATCTCCTGTTGCTGACGCAACTCTCTTTTCCAACTCCCAATTTTTGTTCTATGCTTTTAACTTTGAATACTTTTTCGGTTGATCCGTCGTTTGTTTTGACCATTTTATGTGAAACGACTGACACTGGTGTCGGTGCTGGTGGTGGTGGTGGTGGTGGTACTGCTGCTACTGCTGTTGTTGTTGTTGTCGTTGCCGTCGTTATACTTTCGACGTTGTTAATCGACTGTCCCGTTAATTCCATTTGTCTTGATTTCCTACTCCTATCGAGTATGAAGGGAATGTTTTTCTTTTTGAATGAAAGTTTTGGAACGTTTATCGAAACGTTTGATGACGTCTGCGACATATCATTATTATCAGTCTCGATTTTAGAATAATTTGTTTTTTTTACAGTTGAAAAATTAACATTTTCCGAATCGGAAATGTTTTGTTTTTTAACATTTGAAGAATCCAAAAGAGTAACGTTGGTTCCGACGGTGTCCATTAATTTACTCTCGACAGGATTTTTATCTTCTTTGGTCATTTCGTAAACTTTGTCTTTGTTTTTAACACTTCCAAGAGTTATTGTTGATTTTTTTTTTAACAAATTTGAATTTCTCAATATGGCCGGCCTTTGTTTTTCTGTTTTACTTTGTACGATTGTCATGACGAAGGGCGTCGTCGACGTTGTTGACGTTTCTTCCAATTTTTTATTCTTTTCTTGAAAATTTTGATTTTGATCGGGTTTGGACGATTGATCGTTTCCTCCATCCGTTTGTTCTCTCATGTTTTTATTAAAATTCAATTCTTTCTTTTTATCCTGAATGTTGTTTTTATCCCCGTTTATTTGATTGCAGTCTTTTAATGATTTTTTCAATTCGAACGCATCTTTGAATTCTTCGTTTATGTTTTCTACTGTTTTAACTTTGATACCTGGTTTTTTAGGTGACGACGACGACGACGACGATAACAACGACGAATTTGTCGTCGTCGTAGTCGTCGCAGTCGCAGTCGTCGTTTCTGTTCCTTTAACAATTGGTTCAACCTTATCTCCTCCTACTCCACCTCCCTGCTGCTTCTTTTTATCTAATTGAAAAATATCAAATGATGAATCATTTATTTTTTCGTTTGATAAACGTTTACCTTTTTTTAACTCACCTTCACCGTCTGAAACATCGGATGAATTCCTTTTCGATTTAGGTATGGTCAAAACAATTTCGGAACCATCTTTTCCATTAAAATTATTTTTAACGGAATCTAATTTTCGCCCGAGTGCTTTAGTGAAATTTTCAGCATTTAATTCGCTGGCTTTGAGCAAAAGATCATCGAGACCCAAACTTTGTATTTCATCATCTATGTAATCGATTTTCCAATTTTTATCGGAATTTATTTTCGTGAGGTTTGGCATGGGAAACAAATACTCGGATAATTTGGGAAAATCTTCATTTTTTCCCTTGTTCCCTAAAATTTTTTTCAATTTCGGCGGCGGTATTTTATCACTTCCATCTCCTAATAATTTTTTCTCATATTTAGCTTTCATAATTTTTTGCATGTTTCTCAATTTGCTAAGGAGATCGTGAACGCTAACGAAATTATTTGGGATTTCATGGGTATTAGGGTAACTTGATATACCTAAACGATTACGGGAAATGAATTTTTTATTATCACAAATATCGGCGGCATCGGATTCATTATTATTAATTAATAATAATTTTTCCCTTTGATTTATATTTTTATCAGTTTTTTTATTAAATTGTTTTATAACAACACCACTTTCAGTACTTGTTCCACTTGCGTTTTCACTATCATTATCCGGATAATAATCTCTGTCATTTGAATCGTCTGCTAATGATTCAACATCACTATCGAAATTACATTTATAACTATTATCAAAAATAATTGATTTATATTTATTATTTATTTTTTTTTTTTTTCTAACACTATCACTCGATGACTTTTTTTTTATTGGCACGGCATTTGAATGAAACGTTGCATCATCATCATTTTCAAAATCTATTGTCTGCTGTTCGATTTGATTTTCGTTCTGGAATTGTAAAGTTGACGCGTCGGTAACAGGTAAATTTCTTAAATTGTATCTCGAAGTTCCACCACGACTTCTCGTAAAATAACAATGTTCTATGCAACATCTTTTAACTATTGGAAGATTTGATGCTTTCGTACTCGATTTATCATTTTCGTATTGTATCAAACCACGAAGCGATGAAATGTTTCTAACATATTTCGAATTAATTGATTTTGTTTGGTCTTTATTTTCAATATTTTTTTTCTCTCTTATTTCATTTATTAATAAATTTAACGTTAAATTTTCTTCGCTATCCGAATTCGATACGGTTATTTCTTCTATTATGTTCTCCGGTTTTTCTTCTTTTATCTCAACCAAATCTTCAAAATCGATCAATTTATTATCGTTCTCTTCTGTTTTCATTATTGTTTTCTTTTAAATTTTAAAAAACCTGAAATTTTAATTAAATAAAATTAATTTTAAATTGTTTTTAACTCGTGCGTTTTTTACATTAATTAATAATCAATCATCGTTTCATTAAAATTATTTATTTATTTATATTTTTTAAAAATAAATTTGTTACAACCACTATTATTAGCAACTTTTAAAACTTATCATCATCATCATCAGTAAGTATATTAATAATAATTTATTGTTAAAATAAATAAATTCAAAGGAGTAATTTAAAATATTTTATTTTTCAGATACATAACTTGTTTATAAAACTTATTAATTAATAATTTTTTTTTTTTTGTTTTAATTTTAGATGATTACTTTTAACAACTTGATATCAATATTTTAATTAAATGATTGATTTAAATAATAAAATAATTTTTATTTGCATATATATATATAAAACTTAAAATATTTAAATACATTTTATTCATCAATTATTGTCAAATTAAAAAAAAAAAAAAAAAAAAAAAATTGATAAAAAAAAACAAATTATATATTAATCTAAAAAAAAAAAAAAATTTGCAGGTAAAAAAGTTTAACCGTAAATAGTTGGCAGTATCGTAGTTTTCAACCATTGAAATCAATTCAAAAAACGTTCAACAAAATTTTAATGACCTTTAAAATGAATGTTTAACCATTAACTATATTGATAATAATAATAATAATAATAGTTAATATTAACAATAGGCGCGATACATCGTGTTTTATATATAATTATTTAAACATTGTTACCTTTGTCATAGACTTTGTGTTGATTGTTATGAATTACCTTTTTTTTTTATCAGAAGTTAAAACTTTAATGATTACTAAAAACAATGTGAAAAAATTCTAACAGTTACATTAATTAAATTAAAAATATTAATAATAATTAATTAATTACGTTACCTTTAATAAAGTAGTCACATATTTGAGAGAGAGAGAAAAAAAAAATTAATGAAAAACTTTTTTTTTTTTTTTTTTTTTTTTGCTTAATGAATATATAGCTTTAATGCAATAGAGAATTTTCGTTTCACAGAGGTGTATATAATAATGTTGACAACAGTGGCGACAAAAAATGTCGTGTCAATAGATAAAATTTATTTAAACGAATCTTATATTCAATGAAGACTTTAAATTTCCGTTTTATCAATCATACGATGGTAAATATATTTATAATAATTAATAATTTATCTTTCACTTAAATAAAACTAATATAAAAAACTATAAAATAGATTATTGATATTTATTTATGGTTATTAGGCACGATATTGATTCACTTCACTTAAAAAAAAAAAAAAAAAAAATTGCGTTACTACTAATACTAAGCACAGATCACACAACATTTAATTATTATAATTTTTTAATTTAAAAACTACTCTTTTATACAAAAATTATGTTTATAATGTTTTCAATTAATTTAATAACTCGTAATAATAATATTAATATAAAAATTTGATAACATTTATTAATAATAATTCGTGAATATCAAGTACTTAAAACTCTATTACTACAATCTCACTTTTACTACCGAATATTATTAAATTAATGTTGGCAAAACTGTTTATTTCGTCATTTCGGACAGGGAATGCCTACATTTGAAAATGTAAAAAAAAAAAAAAAAAAAAAAAAATTTAAATTTGTTTACATAATATGTATAATTATTTACCCAAACAGTAGGCTTAAATAAAAAAAAAAATATGACAGATAAGTTACTAATTAATTAAACCGGTTATTATATAATTATTATTATTTTCTTTTTTTTAAATTTTCAATATTTTAAGAAAAAAAAAAAAAAGTAATAATGAGTATGTTGCTAATGGATTCACAAAATTTTTTAAAAGTTTTTACTTATTTTTTCAATAATTAGTCAAATTTAGAATGGTGGATGCATTAGAACAAGTTAATGATGTTACAATAACATTCGTCGATGAAGACGGTGAAAAATCAAATAATAATATTAATATCACTGAAAAATCAAGAGAGTGTCCAATTTGTCATGTTTATTATAAATATGGAAACAGTTATTGGCAGCATGTTCGTTATGTTCATGCAAGTTATTTAAGCCAATGTGTCATTTGTGAAAAATGCTATAAAAGATCAACCATGGCTAAACATCACGTTTTACATTCCCACAAAATCGCTTGGCATTTATGTGGGAATTATGTTCGAAAAATCAGAAAAAGTGATTTACAGCATAAGAAAGAGATTTCAAATTTAAATGATAAACAAAATTCTAGCTTGAAATTTGTAAAAAAAAAAACATTGCATTTAATACAGTCTTTTAATTGTTACGATTGTGATGGATCGTTTTCAACAATCAAAGATTTATTCGATCATGTCAAAAATCATAAAAAAGATTTTGATGAAATTAAATCATCTGATGATAATGAAACAATCGATACAGATGCTGAAAAAACAACTGTTTCCTAAAATATCTTAGATCTGTTGTATTAAAATGTAATCTCATTTCTATAAAATCAATTTAATTATTTTTATCCAAGTCTTCTAGTCAAGTTTGAGTTTGAAGTTACCACTTACAAAGTCATTAGTTAGGTACTCACAAATTCTTTCTTCGCAATTATTATTAGTACAAGAATAAATAGTTTGCAGCTTTTTTATTTTGTATGTAATGGATAATAATTACATAACAAACTAATTAATAATACTACTTTATTTATTAATACATAAATATTTATTTAAAAAAAAAGAAAAAGTATTGTTTTAATTTTAAAACATAAAAATTATATTTTTCTTTCATTTAATTTTTAAAACTTATTAAAAATTAAATAATAACTAAAATATTTTTTCATTTTATCAAAAAGCAAATTAAATAAATTTGCATTTATTTATTTATTATATATTTTTAATAAATTTAATTATTTCGAGGTGTGATATAAAAATATTTGTTCACATACCAAAAGAAAAAAATTTCATGAGTTTGTTGCATAGTAAAACCGAATTGTTTTGTTATTTTTAAAATATAAAAAATTATTATTATTATTATTATTATTATTATTATTATTATTATTTCATTATAAAAATTATTACAAATGATAATGATATTTCATTAACTTATAAATAAATATGTTATATGCTAAACCACTCCCGAATATGATTTCAAAGCGTTTTCAACTTTTTCTATAACACCATCAATGTCAGGCCTGTGTTTGGGATTAACATTTAATAAATTCATTATTAAATTTTCCATTGTCTAAAAAATAAATTCTTGTGATTAATTTTTAACAAGAATTATAATAAAATTAATAAAATATATTAAAATTGTGTACCTCTCCATATATGTGATTTTCAGGAAATGTAATTTTTCCATTTAAAACAGCTAAAGCCACACTATCACCTTTTTCATAAATTATATCATATGGAGACTTGTAAAAGCAGATTGCATATAAAACACATCCTAAACTCTAAAAAAAATATAAAAAAAATACATTAAAATATAATTGTACAGTTAAATGAAAAACATGAAGAAATTTAAATATGGCTACTAACCCAAACATCTGTTTTTTCATTAACTGTTGTATTTTTTTCAACATTAAATAATTCTGGAGCTCTATAAGGCATGGAACACCTTTCAGCAGCTAAATCTTGTAAATTTTGTGCTTCTACTAAATTTTCAACATTTACTCTTGCAATAGCTGTTGAACCTAAAAACGAAACAAAAATGTTCGATAAATATGTATTACAAAACGAATTTCAAATTAAATTCAATTTAAATATTATTATATTACAAAATGAATATTGAAACATTACCTAAATCCATAATAATTGGTGTGTCATCCACATCTAATAAAATATTAGCTGTTTTAATATCTCTATGAGCGATTGGAGGATCTAATTTGTGAAAAGCTCTAACACCCGAACATATTTTAAGAAATAAATTTAATGCTTCAATAGGTTCGAATGGCTTTTTCCAAGCAGCTCTTTTTTCTAATTCATGATGTAGAGTACCTCTCTAAAATGAATACATATTTAAATTAACTGTTTAAATATTAAATATTAGTTTAATATAAGAAAATGATAAATAAATTTTACCCTATAAAAAGGTAAAACGAGATATAATTGACTAGTTAAATTTTTGACAGGATCAGGTGAACCGATAATTTCATAATCTATTAATTCGATAACATATTCATGTTGAACTTTTTCATGTCCTTTAATTTCATTTAAGGCTACAGCTTGATCATCTAATGAATGACAAATTATTTTTTTTATTGCATAGAGTCTTTTGTTATAACTGCTTTCCGCCACATACACAGTACTAAAACCACTGAAAATAAATTTTTTTAAATCATTAAAATTGTCATTTTAAATAAGAAGCAAATTATTACTTTGACAAGTTTTTTTAAAAAGAAAATAAAAACATAAAACAACCCCCTCCCCGCCAAAAAAAAAAAAAAATGGGGAAGGTGTGTATGGTGACCCATTTTTTTTAATAAAAACATTTATTTACCCATCTCCAATAACGTCTTTAACGTAATATTTTTTAGATTTGACTATAATCGTTTCTTGTCCACAAAAACAACTATTTTTCAAAAAAGAAAATATTCCGGAGTTCATTTTTAAAAAAAAAAAAAGAAAGAAATTATGTTAAAATTTAATCACCGATAAGCCATGCTTACGATATATCGCGATTAATTTACTTGTTTCGATATATCGAATCCAAACATCGTTCATTTTTAAAATAACGGTCAAACGTTCGTCACAAACGTAATTACTTGCATGCAATTATTTATGTTTTGATTAAATTATTAAAAGTTTTATGTAAAATATTATAGATTTGAAGTTTTTAAGTTAGTTTTTGTAAAAAGTGAATTATCAATGACGTAAAATTCATTTTAAGAAAACATCACAAAGGTAAATAATATTAGAAAATTAACAATTTTTATATTTGGTAATTAATACTCGTTTATAAATGAAAATGAATGAACATAATTCTTTCTTTTTAATGCATAAAAGACTAATTTTTTTTCCATCACTTGTTTTTTTATTTAAAAAAAGAATTTCAACAATTGTATGAAGTTATTCAGTAGATTTTTTTTAACAACCAAAAAAAAAAAAAAAAAAACGTTACACACTAATCTGTAAAATTAAAAATGTCTCACGAATAAGAATTTAATATATTGTCTCATGCACCTTTATAACCTTCATTCAATTCCTTTTTTTTTTTTTTTTTTTTTTTCTCTATTCAAATATTTCAATCGTGTACCTATTTAAGTGAGGGATTTTAATATTGTCTTCTTCTTTTTTTTTCATCGTTGGAATTTTTTCTTTTGATAGGGTTAAATTTTATTTTGAAATTTTTTTTTTTTTTTTTTTTTTTATGAATGTAAGAAGGCCATTTACCTGAAAAAAAATTTTCTTTCCAAACGATTAAAACGATTCATGTTTCACATAAACAAAATTATTATTAATTTGTAAAATAAAAGTAATAATAATAATGATATAAACAAATAATGTAGATGTTGATGACATTTGACCCCTGCATTATTTTTCTATGTTTTTTCTATACATTAAATTCATTTGTATCATCTCATTCACGGTAAAACTACTTTTTTTTTTTTTAATTTTAATTCAAAAAATCATTAAATTCTTTTAATTTTTGTTATTTTTTTGATTACTTACAAAAGAATTGTTTATATTTTAAACTAATTAACTAAAAATAGTAATAATACTAATAATACTAATAATGAAATGAAAGGGGAGGGAAAATACCAGGTGTTCAAATATAAAAGACCTCCTACCTTTAAAAAAAAAAAAAAAACTTCTTTTTTTTTGTGTTTGTTTGCACCTAATCAACAATTTACCTCTGATTTTTTTTTTTTTTGTTAACAAAGAGTAAATTTCATTAACAAATAAGTTTGAAAATAAAACCCTTAAGAAAAAAAAAAAAAAAAAAAGTTGTGTTGTTGTTACCACCATTAAAAACACAAACGCCACCGATCATTCATAATTTAACTTGGAATTTTTTTCTTTCTTTCATTTATAAAACGGTCATTCATTGTCAAAAAAAAAATTTTCTTTCCCCCCGCCCCCTCTTCCCCTCATTGTTTACAACTTACACGTTTACTATTATTTAAACTTTGTCACGAACTAAAAAATTACAACAACAACAACAACAACCTTGTAAATATAATTTTAAGTCAACGTGCGAATGCCATTTTCTTTTTTTAAGGGTGTAATTTTTTTTCCCCTCTCTGTGGTAACCTAAAAAAAAAAAAGCTAATGATAATAATGATAATTATGAATTTTTGTAACAGTTTTAAAATTTCGCCAATTTTTCCGTGATAATAATAAAAATAATAATAATTTGTTATCTTTTATCAAACAATGTATATATATATAATAATGTCGTATCCATTTAATTTATTACGTCATTAATTACGAAATTTAATCGAAATTTACCATTTTTTTCTTTTTTTTTTTATATAAACTAAACACGCAGATCAAATATTTTCCAGTTTTTTTTTTTTTTTTATTATTATTATTTGCCAACATAATTAATCGATCCAAAAAAAATGGAGAAAAAAAAAAGTTTAGTTTGTTTTATTTAATTTATTTATTTACGCATTTCATAATTATGTAAATTTAAATTTTAACTTGATTTTTACAAAATTACCAAATACGAATATTAATTACAACTATTATATCACACGATAATAATAATAATAATAATGATAATAATTTAAAACGAAAACAAAGAAACGGACGGGAAATTTTATTTATATCGATAATCGTAAAATGAACACTCAAAAAAAAATGTAAAAAAATTTTTTTAATTTAATTTAAATTTACTCGACATTCCACACCTTCTCCCCTCCCCTCTCCTCCCCATCCCTCCTCCGATGAACATTTAAAAAAAGAAAAAGACAACCCTCTTTATAAAAAAAAAAAAAATTTTAATTTTAAATTGACCTTAGCATTGATAACAATGATAAAAAAATTAAATAACTGCACGATATCAAAAAGGGGGGGATAGGTAATCACTTCCATTTAAACTATTTATCATCATCATCATCATCATCACCGTCGTCTTCGTCATCATCATCCTTTTTGTGAGCCGATGGTGACTTTTAAAAAAAAATTTTTTTTTTAGTTGACATCATTCCCATGTTATACAATAATAATAACAAAACGTTTTACATTCGCGCGTACGAGTAGTGTAACGATTGCGTTTTCACGCAGAGAATCGACATAAATTCTCTTGTTTATATATATAAATATAAAATAAGCCGCATTTATACTAATCAAATAATTTATGGCGCGAAAAAAAAAAAAACGGTTGACGGGTCACAATATTATTTAAAAAAAAAAAAAAAAAAAAACGCACGTATCAGGTTAACATAAATTTGTTTTTGTACTCATCGTATGACCAAATTGCAAATACAAAAAAAAAGAAAAGTTACCACTACTACCACTTCCACTACCACTACTACTACCATCACAACCATTACCATAAGAAAAAATTCGGGTTCTTCTTCCTCTGCCAAAAAAAAAAAAAATTTATTGACCATTATATAATGGGGTATGTGTACTGCCGGTAGTTGGTAAAGGAAAAGACGACCTGGAAAAAAAAAAGGAGTTTCGGATTCCTTTGAGACTTTACTTTAGGCAAAGAAATAAATAAAGAGAAAGGCAAATGTCAATGACGAATGGCATAGTGATTTGTAGTCAATATAAACCAGAATTTTTTTTTTTTTTATAAAGTGTCAAAAATATACTCTCCGATCACAATCAGGTTCTCGAAAAAAAAAAATAAATAAATAAATTTTTTTTTTATTATTAAACTTTAGTTTTTAATAGTAATTTAAAGAAAATTAATTTGACCGTATTAGTTTATTAAATTTTTATTATGTATCCGTGTCATTTTACGTTATGTCTTTAACTAAGGAAAGATGTCTCTGACATTATTCACATTCCCGGATTGGTTTGTCAATGGAAAGGAATTCCGATTCCATTCAAAATTTTTTTTTTTTAAATATAATATTATCGCCACCATCTTTTTTTTTTTATTGTGGGATCTTTTAAGCGCCAGGTCGTCTCCCCTCTTGTCTCTCTTTCTGAAATAAACGTTTTGTTTGCAATTGCAACAAAAAAAAAACATTTCGAGAATTAAATGCATGGAACGTAGAGATATATATATATAATGGATAGAAAGACGTGGAAGGAGAATGTTAAAAGATTAAAAATCCAAAATGAAGGCGCTTCCATACATACATTCTATTATGTTTTTTTTTTTTTTTTTTTTCATCTTTTGAAACGGTTTAAAATTTCATGAAAAGAAATTATAAAAACGTTTAAACATCACCTAGAAAAAAAAAAATTATTATTATTATTATTAACTGTTTTTATTCTCTATGTGTGTGTGTCATATACCTGAATAAGTTAAAATGATTTTTTTGGTTTGAACGTTCACCTTTTGGCATATTTATCTGTCGGACGATTCCAAGAAGAATTTTAACAAAAAGAATTTTATTTTTTTTTTTTTTTTACAGAAGCGATTTTTAATGGGGGAGGAAAGAAAGGAAAAAAAAAATCAAAAACTGGAAGGAAAAAATGGAAAAATAACATTGGATTTTAAAAGGTAACGTTAACCTAATTTTTAAGTGCTTTCGTTAATTATTTACAGGTAATTAAACAAAACTATTATTATTATTATTATTATTATTATTATTACCATAACGAAAACCTTTTGAAAAAGGAAAAAGGTTTTTAAAAAATTCCGATTAATTTATTAATTATTTTATTATTACAACTTCCGGTTTAAATTGCGAAACTTACTTTCGTTTAACATCCGTTTTAAAATTTCGATTGAATCTCCGATAGCAAGAAAAAAAATTTTGTTTAAAAACCTGCCCCTAGGAAAATTTGTGGCGGCACCTCCCCACATAACTCCCTAATTTCACGACGACTTATTATTATTATTATTAAAATTTATTAAGACGTATTAATAAGTCATGTTGTTTATACATCCCAAAGGGAATTTAAAAAAAAAAATTTCCCGTTTGTTTTATTTCGAAGAAAAAAAAAAAATTTTTTTTCATTATATTTAATTCTCTCGATCGCCATTTTAAATTTTTAAAAATAAATTTAATTGATGACGTCATTAATTAAAAACCCATTCGATCGATTTAATTTTTTCATATTTAAAACCTCCGTTAATAAAAAAAAAATTTTTTTTTGACAAATGAATGAATGAATGAAAAAAATGAAGTCGAAGGTAAAATAATTTATTATCATTATTATTATTATTATTATTATTATTATTATTATAATTCATCGTTAATAATTAAATTTAATTTCTTTATTATTATTATTATTATTATTATTATTATTATTCGTATAACATAATTTTTAATTTTAATAAGTTAATGACATTGAAAAAAAAAAAAATTTTTAATTTTATCCAAAATTCGATTCATTTTTCCTTTTTGCGAAAAGGAAAAGGAAAAAAATTTTCTTCTCACAAAGGAAATTTTATAAGAAAGAAAAGAAAAAATTGAATGAATAAAACGAGGACGATGACTAAAATACAAAAAAAAAAAAAAAAAAAAAAAAAA